GAGAGCGCAATTTCAAGCTCGGTGGAGCTCTGTGAGATCAAGAACAGACTCTTCTCCTCAAAAGCCTCTTTCACTTTCTCAGAAGTTTATAGAGATACTAGACGAAGCATAGAAGCTATACAAGTCTATTGATACGTCGCTCAGCTTGCAGCAGATTTTCCGATGACTCCATTGTAAAGGGAGACTTTTACCGTATAAGAATAATATTATTTCTGATTTGGGAAAAAAATTCTGGGTGCTTACCATTTGAGATATTTGGAGCTTCCAAAAAAGTATCGAATAAAAAGAAAAAAGCTCAATGATAGGTTCATCTCTTAGTAATCGCACATTACGGCCATTTTTTGCTGTGTTTCCGGTACTGCAATCCTAACTACTTGACAATCACGTTAATTAAATGCTGTTGCATCCGCTAGCCAGTCACTAATTTCAAAATAATGTGAGCTCTTTCCCTACATATTAGGACGATCGCTTATTGGGAAAAAACTATTTTTCTTTGATTCCAACCATCCATTTCATCATAGTTCTGTTCTAATAGATGTTGGATTACTGAAAGTATGTTCTTTCCATTCCTTCGTAAGAATAGCATGTCGGGCCTATCGAACTTCACAGATATTTGAGCGAGATGGAAGCTCGTTTGACCAAAGAGCATATGAAGTAGAAGCTACATACAATGCTGTCCTTTAGCATATGACGGAGCTGAGAGCTGGAGTTTTTTGGTCTCTACAGAAAATTATACTTTTTTTAAATTCCTCATTATTTTTCTAGCTTTGTAGTAGATTATTTTCAAGAGCTTTTTAATGTTATCTATAGTATTTTAGGATGTATTGTCAATTATCACTGACAATATGCATTGTGATAACTATGCTCTATAATGTGAGTGCGATGGCTTGTCGATATTTTAGTGAATACTATTTTGTAAAATTTGTCGAAAATCAAGACAATTACACACTCGATACTAAACGATTAAGGCGCCTGAGGCGGTGTCTGTGAAAAGTGAAGCGAGAAAATTAAAGCAGTGTGACGGAGATAGCACAGAAAGCTGCATTTTTGACGGCGAC